GCACTCAATGCCGTGCATATCCACTTTGAAACTCAAGTAACAGATATTCATTGATGCTGGTTTTATTGAGCAACCATCATTTTCCAGATGCAGAATGTCTCGTAGACTTCTAAATTCTATGTTCAGTTTCTTTGCTTTCTCCATATAAATACATGGAGATAAAAATAGTGCACAGTGTATTAGGCAAGGTTTTCTTCACCAGTGACACTAAGACCAAGAACATATGTGATGTAGAAGCACTGGAAGATGACCAGCTGTGCTCTCGGTCTGTTCAGTTTGTTATTAGAACTAAACCTTCAGCTTTAGGCATTCTGGGGTACAGGTTGCGATGTAATAAGATATGTAGAAGAAAATGAAATTGGATAATGTATTTAATTTACTGTACTAATAGACAGGAGTCTAGTTATGATGTTGCCAAGGAAGCGTATTTAATATTTTGCTATGGTGAGTTATTATGGGAGTATATTAATTTTCAGAGAATGGTGCCATTTGGGAAGGGGAAACAAAAATGTTTAGCCTACCACTCCTTATCTTTTTTAAGGTAAACTAAATATTTAGAAATATGTCAGAAGAGACAAACTCATTTTCTTTTTCCATAATAAGCCATGCCAGTTTTTCCCCTTTTCTTTATCTTAAGCAGAGTACTGTCATCACTATTCTTGCCAACAAGCAGACTCATTGGAATATTTTTCAAAACCAAACACAAATATTGGATGCAAGCAGGTGGAATGAATTAATTTTAAGCATATGTTTCTAACATAACGATTTCTGCAGTGTACTGTTGAGACATCTAAGGGTCTGGCTGTACAACGCACTTTGACAACAAAGCTGCATTAAGAAATTAGCAGTTACACAGATATGTTTGTGGAGCCAGACTTACCGAAATGATCCAGACTGAACAACCTGCCATATACACACATTTCTAGGACAGTTTTACCTCTAAGCCATGGCAATGGTGTGATTTACACTGTTCTCCCAGTTGCCTTAGCACAACAGAACACGGCATCAAACAAACACAGCAGGCAGAGACTGGTAGCATCAATAGGAAAATACTGCTTCTTAGGACAGCTTCACACAGTATATTGTACAGCTGTACAGTATGCCCTGAGACAGTCTATATCAACTGCCACTTCAAGCTGCAAGTCCTTTGGTGGTAGAGGCAACTGAAGATGTTGCTGGCTTGCATTGATCCTTAACCAATTCCCAATGTATCCTGCTGATGGAAAATATTATTCCCTTATTTAGTGCAGGTTATCCGGAGAGACCACCAAAAATGTCTGAATTAGAGAAAGAGGAAACCATCTTAAAGAAAAATAAAAAAAAAAATCCCAGATCCACTTAGATGCACATAGCCACATAGAGTGAGATCAGCTGGAGGCAAGTGGCAGCAAAGGGAGCGGGCTGGTTACTCCTTTGATGCCAGGATTAGACACAGCTCAGCATCACAGAGCCTGGTGCATCATCGGCTGTCCTACTTTAGAGTAGAATAATATTATGATGTTTTTATAGCGACCACATTTTCACATTGGAATTCCCCTTTTTTTTAGTTAACTTAAAATGTAGTAAAACTACAAATATCCTGAATACTGAGATTGTATTCATTATACTGGGTTTTCTTAAATTAAGCAGAAATGTGACATAGCATTTTTAAAAATGCCTGTAAAGCAGTAGGGATCAGAAATTTTTTTAAAGAGTAGATTTTTGAAAAAGTATATTTTTACAATCCAATCTAAATTCAGATATGAACTTGTGTCATTATTTTGTTTTAAAAATATTTGATTGTCTTTTCAGTGCATATTTATGACTATCTTTTTTGTAAAACCTACTGTGAGATCAGCACTTTGAAAAATCAGATCCCCTTCTCACAGGGGTTGAATACAGCTTCACATGGAAACTCAATTCTGTAAACATTGCTTTTTAAATTAGTCTCCATATTCATTTTTTAATATCAAGCCTTGCAGAATAGCCCAATATTGTACCTCATAGCTGCCATGAGAGGACAAGAAGCAACCATAACATGAGATCAGTGCAAAATGCTTTTGTTCACAGCAGATTTCACATACAATTTATCACAATTTAGAGCAGACATAAAACCCCAAATCAGTGGCTTTTGTATAATCCAGCAGATGGTGCTATGATACAATAAACTGGTTCAAGAACACAAGAAATACATTGAATGAAAACATTTTACTCCTTTACCTGGTGCTGCTGGTTTTTTGGTGGCTGGTTTGGCTGCAGGAGGTTTAGCTGGCTCTTAAAAAAAAAAGAGAACAGATTAAACCAATTACTACAAATTGTTATATCTTAAACCCCAGAAATCTGAGGACAGGCTTTCAATAAATGAGGTACTACAGCCTGTAGCAATTTTTTCACTGGAGGGTTAGACAAGGAGATTATCCAAAGAGAAAAGATCTGAGTTACATTCAATAAACTCAAGAACATCAACAAAATAGCCAGCTGAAGGGCAAGTAAATGCTTGCTGTTAGCCACTGAATCACTTCTTCTAGGTGTGGGGTGTTTGTTTTTTGGTTTTTGTTTGTTTGGGTGTGGGTTTTTTGTTTATTTGTTTGGGTTTTTTTTGGTCTCGGAATTCAATATCTATTGACAAAGCAGGTATCTAGGATTTGGGCATGGCCTTGCTGCTCAGGCAGCATCTGTGCACTGCACCCTGCACATTTGAAATTGCAGCTACGAGTGCAGAATCACAGAATCACTAAGGTTGGAACAGACCTATTAGATCATACATTCCACCCATCGGTCAACACTACCATACCCACTAGACCATGTCCTCAAGCACCACATTTACACATTCCTAGAACACCTCCAGGGATGGTGACTCCACCACTTCCCTGGGCAGCCTGTTCCAGTGCTGGACCCCTCTTTCAGTGAAGAAGTTTTTCCTAATACCTAATCTAACCCTCCCCTGACACAACTTGAGGCCATTTCCTCTTCTCCTATCACCAGTTACCCAGGAGAACAGACCAGCACCTGCCTCCCTACAACCTCCTTTCAGGTAGCTGTAGAGAGTGGTCAGGTCTCCCCTCAGCCTCCTCTTCTTTGGGCTAAACAACCCCAGCTCCCTCAGCTGCCCCTCATAAGACTTGTTCTCCAGACACTTCACCAGAAGGTCCTGAACCAGCCTATAGCAGCCTGCAAGGATTCACTGCAGTGAATTCAGCAGTGGTGCTTGTTGGGATCCCACAGATAGTCAGGGTGGCATCCTCCCTCCTAATCTGAAAGTATTCCTGAAGAGAAAAGGTGAAATTGAGCTAATTCAGCAAAGTACATTCACAGACACAGCTACACCAGGAATCTCTCTCCATCCTGAGGAAAGAAAGGAGCATTAGGAGAGAAACTTCATGTTTGATCCTGCACTTGAAAGAGCAAAGGCTGTGTTCTCCTAGCAGAGAAATAGGCCCTCTCAGGGAGCTGTAGTTCTGCTCCTGTTCTTTTCATAAAGCAGTTGAACCACCCTCTCTTTGCTGAGGTAGGGTATTTCCTTGCAGAACGATGGTCCAAATGATGAAAGGTATGTGCATCCCCAAGCACAACACTGTACTTGAAGCACAGTAACTTAACAAATATCCATATGCTAAACTCCGCGGACTTTCATAATGGATTTTTTGTAGCAACTGGAAGATCCTCTAAATTAAAATTCACATTTCCATATTGTTAGAGGAAATAATTAATCATTTTAATCACAATCTGAATTACAGAATGCCAAAAGAATGTTAGATAATACCTCACATCTGTCACTGTGTTATTACAAAGAAAAAGAATATGGCTAAATCAGGAATGTAATTCTGAGTTCTTCCCCTTCTGTCTTTTGAGAAGTTCATAAAAGATGCATGAGACTGTCTTGTGAAACAGAATGAAAACAAAATATAGTTTGCATGTATGAGATTGTTTTCTTTCCATCCATTTAAAAGTCTGCTGCACATAATTATATCCTAACTTAGTTATTATCATGGCATTGTAATTACTTGGGGTGCTCACCCCTCCTTCAGAGAAATGTGTAGAAGACCTTGAAGAAGAGTTTACTTAGTATTACTTTCCTGAGTGCCTGCTCTTGCAGAAGAAGCAGGAGATCCAACACACATATTCTACAAGTGACAAGGTGGACTTAATAAAAAACTGCAGGACTCCTGCATTTATTCCCTTCTGAGATCTCAGCTAGAACTTGCTGGCCAGTGAGATTGTTAAAAAACTTTTTCTTCATAACAACTGAGAAAATAAATTAAGCTAGGATTCTTTTTGTTCTACCAAGATTTTATTTTCATTTAAAATATTTGTTTTCTGAATAAAATAATTTTGAAGAAAAAAATTACAAAAGATATTTATGACAAAAAAATTCTGCATTTTTTAAATTTAAAGTTTCAGTAGCATTAGTAAAAAGTGTCAAATGTTTTAAACTTTCTTTTTTAGTCATATGCTTTTTAGTTTGTAATTCACAAATTATTTCAGTTTTAATGACTCTGCATCTTTACATGAACAAGTTTCAGCTGAAAACTTCACCCTGCAAATTTCACTAATGCAATGGTGTTGGGAAGTTTTGCCATGACAGCTGCTGGGGAGTTTTCTCATGAGAGGAATCATGTGCCCAAATCAATAGATCCTTTACAGACCTGCTTGCAAACAGGCAGTTATTTCACTAACAGAATATTACTTGTAGTGTAAGCCCATTGAATCTTTCGTTTAGTGTTTCTGCAAAATTTGAGTCAGGATGAATGTATAAGCTTTTCTTGATTGCTAAAAGAAATCTTATAACAAATTCCTGCAAAACTGAGCATGTCACGGGATTATTCTGTTATACAGATCAGGAAAGATTATATATGGAGAAGGGAGTCAGTGCATTCTTTAATCATAAATCAGAATGATATTTTGAAACCCCATAGTTTTCCTAATTTTTCTTACATACATCGCTTTCAGAACAGAGATTTGAGCAGATGAAATCTTATCAGTGAAACTGTTTTACTCTCCTTACTGTGTTGATGCTTGCAAATTTGTAGAAAAAGAGGAATTTCCTCGTCAATAACATGGTGTTCTCAGAGCATATTTTGGTTGTTTATGCAGAAGAGCCCAGCCCCTGCCTCTCTTCTGCCTCAGAAGTAGTTTTGAATCTGAAGTAACTAGGTAGGCAGAGCCCTTTTTTTTGATTTGTGAAGACAAATTTGGTGGTCATCAACATGTTGGACTCTCAGTAGTCTCAGCCCATTTACTGAAAGTGCAGCTGCTGAGACTATGTTCAGCTGAGACCGCATTTGACATTTCCTTCCCCATAAAACCTTTGTTTTTTAAGACAGTGATAGAAAAGAGGAGAAGGCAAAATTGTCAAAAAGAGGAGTGAGGAATTAGAAGTATGATAAGAATGGAATTAGAAAGTAGGAGGCAGCTGAAGTCTAAACATGTCATTTTCCAATTATAAATGGTGTAGCTACTTTCTTTGTATTTTCAAGAGTTCAGTAACTATTATTTTGAATTATTGAAACATGCTGTTTGAAACTACTTGACATATAAAAGAGATCATAACCTATGGCAGGGTAGTTTCTTACTTTTGAGTTCTTTGGACACAGCAGCTTCTTTTTTATCTGTAAGATAAAAAAAAAGAAGTCACATGCATAAAAACATAGGAAGTATACAAGTAGGCAGAAAACTGCAGTGGTGCTTTAGGGGTGAAACAACTTATTTGCTGCAAAATGCATTTGAATGAAATGATGTACTGAATCAGTTCCTTTCTGTTTCATGATAAAGCTGCACTTATTTAACCTTAAGTGTAAATGAAACTAAATCTGTGTGAACATGAACATTTTTATTTAATTTCAATATAGTAATATGAGAGATTTGACATGTGATTGAGTTGTCATGGTTTACACATAGTAGCTGAGCCATGGTTGCTCACCATGTTAGGTTGCAGAAATGCAAGGGAAGATGCGCTAGAAGCCTAAGAATAGAGACACATAATCATAGAATCTTTTAGGTTGGAAAAGATCATCAAGTCCAACCCTTAGCCGAACACTGCTAATACCACCACTAAACCATATCCCTAAGCGCCACATCTACACACCTCTCAAATACCTCCAGGGTTGATGATCAAGCCACTTCCCTGGGCAGCCTGTTCCAATGCCTGACAATCCTTTCAGTGAGGAAATTTTTCCTAATACACAATCAAACCTCCCCAGGTGGAACTTGAGGCTATCTCCCCTTGTCCTACAGCTTGTTTCTTGGGAGAAGAGACCAACCTCCACCTCTCTGCAACCTTCTTTAAGGTAGTTGTAGACTTAATGAAAAGCGTTATCTTCCTAAGTTGTTTACAACCACACAACTGAGGCTTAATTTGGAAGTCTCCATATAACACCTAGCCAAAACTTCAGCTGCCATGAATTTCCAGCACTTCAAAACAATGGAAGATTTACAGCTAAAGAGAAGAGAGAAAATCTGAGCCATCCCTTCAGTTCCTCCTGGAGGAAAGGTCTCTGCTTCTCCAAACTTTCTTCAGTGTTCAATTAATGTTCAAGATAATGCATTTCATGCTTGTGAAAAAGAGCACACGACACTTCCACAATGTGGAATACCTTATGAACCTGAAGAAAATCTCTCTTGTAGAGTAGGCAAAATCTATCCCTGATTTATTTAAATTACATTAAAATAACTTGTCTGCATCTAAATATGGCATTGCCAGACAGCCTACCAGAGAGACTTCATTCAGCTGTTTAGTCTTATCTCCAGGTAAGGTGGCATTTTTGTGACACTCTTTTATAGGACTTTTTTTCTGATGGCTGAGAGAAGACTTGGAATCTTTACTAAGCAGGTGTAAGTAGTCAGAAATACTCACTGGGAGTTTATTTCTCCATGGTAATTCTTGTTGTTATTCTACGTCAAGGGTTTTATCTGGGTACAAATATTGACCATTTTTATAACCATAGTGGATGCCTTATGTACCTTTTCTATGAGTCTCACCTGTACAACTAAGAAATAGTTCATGCAGGTCTTGTGAGAGAGGAAGCAGAGAGATGCATAGAGTAGTCATAGAAGTTACTCTCCTGGGTGCCCATAAGGAAATGAACATCCTCTCTAATGATCTGTAGTGTGCCTAGAATATAGGCAGGATAATGCTTATGTCCGCAACATATACGAATGATAAATTAATTGTGCTCTTAAACACTCATACAAGAAATACTTGAGGGCAGAATCTGTCAAAATAAGTAGCTTGCAAAACCAAGACTATCCCATTTCTGATAATAGTACAAAGTTTCTGTTGCTCTCTAAATTGCTGTGAAGATGTTGATATGAGATAAGGTAATGCAAATGACTGCCAAGTAATCTAATAAAAAGTCTTGAAAAATATAGGGGAAAATACATTTCTATCTGGGTGATATGCTGCTCTGAACTGAAATGTTTCTAGGTTAATCCTCTGCTTCCACTAACACACTGTGAAAGCATGTTTTGCAGGCATTACTTCAAAGTATGATAATTACCACATTTAGATGAAATTAATCATGAGACAGCTTTCAGCCATGTTATCTGGCTAAGGAACCTATTGAAGCCTTCAAGAAGTGCCTATTAGTTGCCAGATATGGAAATTTTAAAAGGTGTCTATTGAAGCGATATGAATCATTTATCACAATAATCTTCTATTGCTGGAGGTTATAAAAAAATAAATAAATTGGCAGCATCATTTACAGTAGCAGACTGGATCTAAATAAAGCCCTCAAGTTCTTCCTTTACTGTTTTCATATAAGTCATCATTTACTAGGACAACATACTTTAATATATTTTAGAGCCATAATTTATGTTAAAAGAATCAACATTTTTTTCCATCATCTGAAGTACATAACATATAGTAAAGTTTGAGTAAATATCTGGACACTTTTTCCAGTAAGAAAGTCTTATAATTTGGGGTGGGTGTGTGTGCGTATTTCTGTTTTGGTTTAGTTTTTAAGTGCAGAAAAATTACCAATACCTGATTCCAATTGTACAAGATGATATGAAAATGGAAATATATCCACTCTTAGGCTATACTTCTCAAGAGAAGCTGCATAAAGTTTCATTTCTAAGACTAAACCTACACAACTGGGCTGGAATGATTTACAGAAAATTGTTCTGAGGAGGTTTTGTAGGACGCTGAACAACGGAATTTCCTTTGAAAATATATAACATTTACATTAAGGCACCTCACAGTTGAATGAAATAGGTACAAGAACCGAACAATTGGTAGACCTCACAGAGAAGGGAAAACTGATCAGGATTTCCAAAGTTCCTAAATGTGGTTACCTGCTGTAAGACACAAATAGCACATAACTAAACAACTCGGAGGAAAAAAATACCAAAAATTAATTGAACGATGAGTTATATTAGTGTAATTAAAGTCAATGAGCATTTTGCCTCATTCATTTTCTTTTTTTCCACAGGTCTAGAGTTTAACTTTTAATCTCTGGGAGTGTGGATGGGAATACAGCCTTATTATGTCAGATTTTATAGACATGATGTCTTTTTCTTAGCAACAAGAAGAAGCAGCTCTCTGGCCTGTTGGTGAGTCTTTTTCTCAGATTAGTTAAGAAGAGGAATTTCCAGAAGAAATTAACTTTTTTCCAAACAACAGTGTTGGACAACATAGGAACATCATCCTGAACACATCTCTGCCAATCAGCCTGGGAAGTATCATCTCCAGAGCTTTTGGCTATTTTCTCTATAAATCTTTACATCTGAAATCTGATAAGAGGAAGTGTATGGCATGATAATGTTGCCCATCCTTCCTGGGAGACGTTTCTTCACTAACACCCATATAACACATGAACTTCAGTCGGGGCACTCTAGCAGCCTTGACCAGCACCACGGTCAAAACCACTGTGACTGTCCTTGGTACTGGGGACAGTTTTAGTTGATATCCAAGAACAGGGAATGCATTTTATTTTCAAGAAAAGCCCCACTTCTACAACAACATAAAGCAATTAAAAACCTCTTTAGTAGATTTACTATAGGAGATAAGACTTCAAAACCTGAAGCTTCTGTTCATTTGGTGCCCAAACTGAAGCAGTCAAGTTTTCAGAAGTTGCTGAGGGCATGTTTGATATTCAGATCTTCTTAAAGGGCTTACATAGACCACTCATATGCTGAGCAATACAAAGTTTTTGGATACTTCTCACAACCCTAGCCATGAGCTTTTTTGAAAGCACCTGTAACAGACTTCAACAGGCAAAGCACCATAGCTAAAAAAATTAATTGTCAGCTGTGGAGGATTGTGAAACACTTCCCCCCCCCTTCTCAAGAAATATTTGTTGTATTCTGGACTGTATTCTCAAAAAGCAAGCATGGCTGTACAACATCCCCCTCTTCCCAGGTGAATGAACAGGTTTTTCCTTTACTGACTCTCAAAAAAGATTAAGCTACAGAAAAACTTTATTTTATTATTTTATTAAAAAGATGGAAAATTTAAACAAACACGATCTGACTTTGTTCTTATCTGTACAGGCTAAAAGGATCAGTTTTGAATTCAAGCTGGGAATGAGCATGTGGCAGCCAGCACAGATGTATCTCACTGAAACTGCAAAGCAATACTTTATTCTTTCGCCTCTTTTTAGCACATAGCTCAATCTTTTCCTCAGGCCTCGATCAGCATTCTTTTGAAGTAAACTAACAGTACACAGTAACTGCAAATGACATCTAAACTACACATGGGGCAAGAAAAAAAAAATCCCTCTAAGCTTATATGGTGCCTTTCATGCCAGTGAGTCCCTAGGAGGTTTGTAATAAGCCATTAGACAAGGAAACCCCAGTGCTCTAGTACGCAGTGTGGTTGGTTGAGCTTAAACAAACTTCCAAAATGGAATATTTAAAACATTGCTCTGATGTGAAATCTAGATCTGGGATTCACAAAACTTTTACAGTTTTTTAGCAATGGATTTATAATACAGTGTACATTGTGCATTTGAGAACAGCAGATCTTCAGCAGCTCTATGCAACCGATAATTTTGACACAGAAAAAGAAGTCCTGGGAACTAAATGGATCTCAAATTGTTTTCTCTTGAAAGGCTTCTCTGTGCTTTTTCTACCTAGAAATCTCTTACTTCAAAATATATAATCTTAAATTAGAAGTGTTATTCAGATAAATGAACATTTCAGAGACAATATCTTGATAGCTCTTCTATTCATACATGTTTAAAATAGCTGCCTATAACCACTTTTACTATGGGAAGCATTATTTTATATGTTGCATCTAAAACAACATTTATCTTTGGAAGCTTGTCAAAGAACATGACAGCAATATCAAATTTACAAACAGAAACTAATTTCAGGGTCAGTTGGCAAAAACAGTGTTCGAATTGAATGATAGCTAATATCTTAATCAAACATTGTAATCCAGTAACTAAGGTTGAAGATGCTAAAGATTTCCCTCTACTGGCTGATCTAGACCAAGCATTGAGACACTGAGGAATTACTAGATGCCTCTGAAAAATGTAATCCACTGCATCAAAAACTAAAGAGACATTTAAAACATTAAGCATATACTAAAGGAGGAATTCTCATCCTAAACCTCAGCTATCACTGACCATCTACCATCTCTATCTTTCAGCTGATGATCACATACTTG